CGTTGGTGAATCCAACTCCAGAACAGTTGGAACAAGCTGAAGTTTGAGCAGGAAGAAGCCCTTATAAGACGAAGGCAGAGAGAGGCCGAAGACAAAGCGGCCAGGGAAGAGAGAAAAGAAAAGAGAACCCTTGAAGAAAAGGTTGAACGGTCAAGGACGAAGCCAAAGACCGAAGCCGCAGCAGAACCGAAAGTGGCCGAGGCGAAGCCCAGGCCGAAATCCCAACAGGTTCTGAAGAGACCAGCGGCTGCCGAATCATCGGTTGAACCCAAGGCCAAACCGAAGAAAGAACATCCATCAGACATTGAGTACACGTATACGGACACATACGTGTGGGAATCTGAAGAAGAAGAAGAAGAAGCGGCGGAGCAAGACGCCATTGTGGACTACTTCTGATGGATCCTGCAGTGCAGACGGCGCTGCAATAGCTTCAAGCTCAGGTACAGCAGCTTCAAGCTGAAAACGTTTCATTCAAGACAGGGCAGCAATCCCTGCAGCAGGAAAATGAAGCGCTCAGGGCGCACGATGTGTTGGAGATGTTCTGGCTCACCGTACTCAATAAGGGGCTTCCCTTCTCCTTTCTTTCCGGTTCCTTTACCCTTGGCTCTCTTGTTTTTCTTTCTCTGGAGTGCTTCCGCGCTCCTCCAGCGGCGATTGGGGTTCTCCGCCAGCCACTCCTCTGCTTGCCCCTTCGCTTCGGCTCCTTTGTCTCCTTTGGCTCCTTTTCCTTTGGCTCTTTCCTCGGCTCTTTCTCTATAGATTCTTTCTCTTTCCTCTTCTTCGGCCTTGTCGATCCAAGCCACCCGGGAGTAGGTATACACAAGCCCACTTGCGGTAGTTGCCTTTGGGAATGGACCTCTCCTTGGCACAATCCCAAGTTCGTAGACTCTCTCTGGTCTACTGGCTCCTCCTTCAGGAGCTCCTTCGGATTCTCCCCGCCCGTCGCCCGCTTCTTCAGGCTCTGCCGCCTCTGCGGCCTCTGCTCCTCCTTCGGGAGCTTCGGGCTCTGCCGGCCCGTCGGCCCCTACAATGGGCCCTGGAGCCACAGGCTCCTCTCCTCCTCCGAAATCTGGGGTTTCGGTTGTATCACTCGAGTCGCTGTCTCGAACCTCTCTCGCTACCATGCAAAACTATTTACTTACAAACCTGAGCGCTACGGAGCGCCTTTTCCACTTGAGCCAAACGTATACGCAGGGAATGCATTGGGCTCACCTTGCTGTACATTATGGTGATATATTTCTGCACACAGCCATAAACCAAAACAATAAATCTTGTGCTTCTTTGTTTGCTGGGTAGCAGCTTTGAAGATGAGAGTGTGTTTGGCTTGAGGTTGTGGCAAGTGCAAAGAGGAGTTTGTTCAAGCTTGTGTTTGCACATCCATAAAACAACTAGACGACGGATGGCCCGAGAGCGTAGAGGAGCAGGGTCTTCTCTTGTTAGTATGGAGACGCAATATTAGAAACGATATATGAAAGCTGTGTTATAGGCAGTCGAGAAGAGGAGTATCAAGACAAAATAGTGAGAAGTGCAAGACAATAGTTTGCATCGCAAACACTTTTACACACAGACGCTTTTACACACAGACGCTTTTACACACAGAGGCTTTTACCCGCAGAGACTTTTACACACAGACGCTTTTACACACAGAGACTTTTACACACAGACGCTTTTACACACAGACACTTTTACACACAGACGCTTCTACACACAGACGCTTTTACACACAAACGCTTTCTACACACAGGGGCTTTTACACACAGAAGCTTTTACACACAGACGCTTTTACACACAGACGCTTTTACACACAGACGCTTTTACACACAGACACTTTTACACACAAACGCTTTTACACACAGACGCTTGGACACACAGACGCTTTTACACACAGAGGCTTTTACACACAGACGCTTTTACACACAGAGACTTTTACACACACAGACGCTTTTACACACAGACGCTTTTACACACAGACGCTTTTACACACAGACACTTTTACACCGCTTTTACACAGAGACGCTTTTACACACAGACACTTTTACACACAGACACTTTTACACCCAGAGACTTTTACACGCAGACACATTTACACAAACACGTTTACACACAAACATTTTTACACACAAACACTTTTACACACAGACACTTTTACACACAGAAGCTTTTACACACAGACGCTATTACACACAGACGCTTTTACACGCAAAAGTTTACACACAAACAGTTTTACACACAAACACTTTTACACAGAGACGCTTTTACACACAGAAGCTTTTACACACAGACGCTATTACACACAGACGCTTTTACACACAGACGCTTTTACACACAGACGCTTTTACACACAAAAGCTTTTACACACAGACGGTTTTACACACAGACGCTTCTACACGCAGATACGTTTTACACACGCACACACGCTTTCACACACAAACGCTTTTACACACAGACGCTTTTACACACAGACGCTTTTACACACAGACGCTTTTACACACAGACGCTTTTACACAAACATTTCGACGCTTTTACACACACAGACGACTTTTACACACAGCAAGCTTTTACACACTCAGACGCTTTTACACAGCACTTTTACACCGCTTTTACACACAGACGCTTTTACACACAGACACTTTTACACCACAAACCTTTTACACCCTAGGAGGACCTTTTAACACGCAGGAAAACATTTTTACACACAGAGACTTTTACACACACAGACGCTTTTACACACAGAAGCTTTTACACACAGACGCTTTTACACAGACACTTTTACACACAGACGCTATTACACACAGATGCTTTTACACGCAAAAGTTTGCACACAAACAGTTTTACACACAAACACTTTTACACAGAGACGCTTTTACACACAGAAGCTTTTGCACACAGACGCTATTACACACAGACGCTTTTACACACAGACGCTTTTAGACACATCGCAATTTTACTTCAGTTTTTGGCGATCCAACCTCATTTCGTGCGAAAGGGACATGCGACAGGGTTGCGCGGGACAAGTTGAAATCGCAATTTCACCTCAGTTTTTGCCGATCGAACCTCATTTCGTGCGAAAGGGTTGCGCCGGACCACTTGAAATCGCAATTTTACCTCAGTTTTTGACGATCGAACCTCATTTCGTGCGAAAGGGTTGCGCCGGACCACTTGAAATCGCAACTTTACCTCAGTTTTTGGCGATCGAACCTCATTTCGTGCGAAAGGGTTGCGCCGGACAAGTTGAAATCGCAATTTTACCTCAGTTTTTGGCGATCGAACCTCATTTCGTGCGAAAGGGTTGCGCCGGACAAGTTGAAATCGCAATTTTACCTCAGTTTTTGGCGATCGAACCTCATTTCGTGCGAAAGGGTTGCGCCGGACAGTTGAAATCGCAATTTTACCTCAGTTTTTGGCGATCGAACCTCATTTCGTGCGAAAGGGTTGCGTTTCGTGCCGTCTCGTTGCCACTGCCCCTGCTCCCGCCTTCAAGAAAGAAATAGAAAAGAAGGAGAGGGCAAGAGGGCAAGAGGGCAAGAGGAGAAGGTGTGAGATGAGAAGATGTGAAAAGATGTGAGAAGATGTGAGAAGATGAGAAGATGTGAGAAGATGTGAGAAGATGTGAGAAGATGTGAGAAGATGTGAGAAGATGTGAGAAGATGTGAGAAGATGTGAGAAGATGTGAGAAGATGTGAAGATGAGGAGAAGATGGGAGGATGAGAAGATGGGAGGATGAGAAGATGTGAAGATGAGAAGATGTGAAGATGAGAAGATGTGAAGATGCGAAGATGAGAAGATGTGAAGATGAGAAGATGTGAAGATGAGAAGATGTGAAGATGAGAGGATGTGAAGATGAGAAGATGTGAAGATGAGAGGATGTGAAGATGAGAGGATGTGAAGATGAGAGGATGTGAAGATGAGAGGATGTGATGATAAGAAGATGTGAAGATGAGAAGATGTGAAGATGAGAAGATGTGAAGATGTGAAGATGAGAGGATGTGAAGATGAGAGGATGTGAAGATGAGAGGATGTGAAGATGAGAAGGTGTGAAGATGAGAAGGTGTGAAGATGAGAAGATGCTTGACAGACCCCCACTATTGGAAGAACCCTGCGCTCAGACGCTCTCGGGAAAAAATCTTTCCCGGACTGAGCTTGGGTTCTTCAAAAAAACAGCCATCCTGTCAAACTCATTGCGAAGAAACTTGCATGCCCCCGTTCGCCCAATTTAATGTTGTTACATCGCTTTGCTTGGAAAGGCATTCAAAAAAACAGCTATTTCGGTGCGGATGCTGGCATGCATTGGGCAACAACATTGATCACGGGGGCACGGGGGGATCAGGTGTGATGTGGCCACATGTAGGAGGATCGCTGTTTTTTGAAGAACCCGGGGAAGAGTTGTGGTTTATGGATCTGCAAACACAAGCTTGAACAAATTCCCTTTTGCATCCGCCAAAACCTCAATCCAAACACACTCTCATCTTCAAAGCTGCTACCCACCAAACAAAGAAGCAACATTGCAGCATTTGCTCCGCATGTGGGCTAAAATTGGAGATCAGAAGCTGTGTGTCTTGCATGGTGCAATATGTAGAATTTGCCTCCATGCCTCCAGAAGCAGAATTGCAGCGTTCTGCTGATGAAAATATAAGGGGGCGCAACCATCGCGGGGCGCTACTTTGCTGGGGGCGGTACTAATTTGGTATACGATCAATTGATTGTTACAGCCAGCACCTGCTGCACAAGCCGCTTCGGTTTTACGGCTTTGTCTTCGTCTTCCTTTCTTATTCTTCTTACTCTTCTTCTTCTTCTTCTTCTCCTTCTTTTCTCTTCTGCTTCTCTCGAGGGCTTCCACCTAGAGTGCATATCAAACTTCCTTGGGGCCACCTCTCTATGGCCGGCGGGCTTGCCGAAGGCAATTAAATATAGGTGTGCCTGGGAGGGGCTAACCTTATCAACGACTGGAATTTCTTAAAGACATAACGAAGCCACACCACAACTACTTTTGAGACCGTGACCTTGTTGACAAAGCAGGTCTCTTTCGCTCTTATGTAGCACTCCGTAGCAGCTTCGCATTGTGCTCCGCCGCTTCCACAATCTCATCAAGCTCAGGGTCGGCAATCCCCTTCAGCTCCAGCTGCAAGGCCCGCACGATCTCCAAGCATGTTTTATAAAGTGCACCTGCCTCTGTGCAATTGCCCAGGTCAGCGTGCACATCCGCCAAATGAAACAAGCATTTGCTCATCTTGCGCCTGTCACCTCGGATTTTCCTGAGTGTGAGGCAGTCTTCAAGCAACTCCTGTGCTCGCTGTAGATTTTTTGATTCTCGGCACACTTGGCCCAATTCAGACAGAGTCTCTTCTTTCAAAGCCTTAGTCTCTTCTATCAAAGCCTCTGTCACTTCTCCACGATCCAGATGCTGATGAATGTCGTGACAACGATCCAAAGCCGCAAAAGCCTGATCCAGTGCCTTTTTGCGTTCACTATCGACCTTACTACCTTCATGCCAATCTCTGCATGCAAGCCCGAGGTCGAACAAAGTCTTAGACAATTTCAAGTCGTTTCGACCAAAGTTGTGCTCCTCGATCTTGACGCAACGTTTGAGCACAGCACGCTCTTTCTGATTTTTGCTCAACTTGCGGTACTCCTTTGCCAGGGTTTTCAGCTCTACTGTAAGTTGGACATCTTCCTTGCCAAAGATATCCTCCTTCATCTCCAAGGAACTCTCTGCCAGCTGGTCTAAGCTGCCCTTTGGCAAATCACAGAAACGGAGAACAAATTTCTTCAGAGTTTCTGTTCTGGATTCTCCAAAACATTCTATTTCAATTTTCAAACAGCGTTGAAGAAGTTGCTTGTTTGGGAGCAAGCTCCGCTCATAGACTTTTACAAACCGCCCCATTGTATCCATGAGCTCTCCAGGATTTTGGTTCTCGATCATCAAGCACCTTTTCAGAAGCTGCTCTGCCTTCTCGTAGTCACCAACACCTTCAAATTCTACTGCCGATCTTCGCACAAAGTCGTGCTGTGCACCATCAAGACAGTCTTCCTGAATTTGAATGCAGCGGTTGAAAGTGTCTATTGCGCGTTGGTCCTTCAACCTTATGTAAATGAGAGAAAGGTGTTTCAAAGTCTCCTCCACGTTCGAATCAGAACCGTCATGATGGTTCTCATATGCCTTCAGGCAACGCTCGAATAGCGTTTTTGCCTGGGCATAGTCTTCACGGAGGATAGCCACTGTCCCCAAATTGTATAAACATTCTCCAATTTGTGGACTATCTGCTGATTCTGATGGAAATCTGTGTTCATACAACTGCAAACACTCGATTAGCAAATCTCTTGCCTGATCATAATCCTTCAAATCTATGTAGATTTGCGCACTCTTGGTCATAATTGGCACTAGATCTTGATGATCTGACCCCCACTCCTGCTTCTCAATCTGCATGCACCGCTGTAGCCAATTTTTTGCAAACGGCGCGTCACCCAAATTGTCGTTACACATTGCCACCGTGCCCAGATGTTTTGCCAGGATGAACCTTGCACGTCTCTTCAAAGACTGGTCATAATTCTCTAGAGCTTGATCACGGTTATGATGGTCTTGGTCGACTCCACGCTCATGCAAACTACGGCAAGCATTTCCGAGGTTGCTCAATGTCACAGCAATGTTTTTGTCATCTGGTTGAAACTGTTCTTTCAAATGTTCTTTCAAATATTCTTCATGTTTTTTCTGTATCTCCAAGCATCGCTCCAGCCAGATCTTCTCGTCCTCGTGCTTGCGTCTTTCGCCATAAAAAACTCCCAGATTTGACATCACCGGAGTCACTGCTGGATGGTCTTTACCAAAATGCTGCTCCTGAACCCTGAGACACGATTTCAATGTCTCCTCCGCTTCGCCCCACTCTTCGGACTTTTTGTGTTCTTCAACCATACTCGCAACCATATTGTTCAAAACGAATGCGACATGCGGGTGGTCTTTGCCAAGATGCGCCAAGTGAATCTTCCAGGCACTGTAATACATCTTTCTTTGCGAAATTGAATGCTCGTAATATGTCTTTCTTTGCGAAACTGAATTCTTCAGCTTCCCATATGAAATGCCAAGGTTGTTCAAACATGTTGCCACCTCTGGATACTCTTTACCTATTTCTTTGAGCCAATCTCCCATGTTTTTTGCTTCCTCTGTCCCATCTGCATCTCCAAGGTCTTTTAGACACTTCGAGAGGTTTGGATTTTGTTGTTCGAAATATTGTGTGAAATAACTGCGGCACTTTTCCAAGTATTCCTTTGCTTCCTCGTCTCTGTTCTGCTCTTGAAATACCAGTCCCAAGTTGTTCAAGACCCTTGCCACTTGTAAATCATCGCGGCTTTTCTCAGCAAGTTCCTTGCATTCTTCCAAGGCCTTGTGTGCCTCTCGGAAACGGTGCAAGCTGATATAAACTGCGCCGAGATTGTTCAAAAGTCTTAACCTGTCTGGATCATTTTTTGGCCATCCACATCCATCCTCTTTTTTCAAAAGTTCCTCCCCCAGTCCGAGTGCGTATTCTGTTTGACCCGTTTCAATCAAAACCTTCAGCAAAGAAATTTTAGCGCGAATGACCACTGAATTCTCGCAGGGAAAAGTTTCTGCCAAAGCCAATGACATTTGACGCAAAGGCAGCTCACACCATGCCTGCTGTTCTTGCATCCTCACTAGATCTGCAGCTGCGCAAACTTTTGCGATGGCAGCAATGGCCTCCATGGTCTCGTGGGCGTGGGCCTGACCTTCCATAGATTTTATCAATTCCTTCAGTTTCTCCTCGCCGGGTTCTAAAGGAAAAGCTTTTCGACAGAGTTCTGGGTTGCTGCAAAGTTCGTTCCACTGCACAATTCGCGCTCGATTTCCATCTTGGACAAGAACATGGACCCGGTTGGGATCTTTCAGGTATCCGAATTCCCAGCGGCACGGTTTTGACCTTATCAACATCGTGACTGCAGAATGAGGTGCTACGGTACTACAACACAACGCAATACACAAGTTCACACATTGACGTGGAGTAATGTTGTTTATTATACTGCATATAGTTTTGTTGTGGAATGAAGCTAAGGATCTAAATATTCTGCCGGAAAAAAACATGAATTTCCCGCGATTTTTCAACAGCAACAGCATGAATTTGTTTGAAAATAATTGTTGTTTTGAAAGCGTTTCGTTGAAATAAAAACTAAACCGTCCCTGGGAGACTAAGACTAACTGTCGGGAAACCATTCTTTTTTAAGGGACAGGGACATTGGCGAGAACACATTTGCAAAATCCCGAAAGCAGCCACAAAGTCGTTCAGAACAACACGCATATTGGACAAAAACCGAGCTACGTTTTCACCAAAGACAAGATGGAAGCCACGAACCCAAATGTATTCACGTTCTTGGACTACGAAGTGCAAACCTCTGCAATAGGAAAACGAACCTTTTTTCGTCTCAGCGAAGGCACCTGAGCAACAGTTCACAAAGAGACAACTAACCAGCACAACAACAGTACCACCAGCACAACGAAATCACCACCAGCACAACAACATCACCAGCGCACTAAAATCACAACGAAATCACCGGCGCAACGAAATCACCAGCGCAACAAAATCACCGGCACAACAACATCACAAACACAACGAAAGCACCAGCACAACCAAATCACCAGCGAACACAACCAGCGCAACAAAATCACCAGAACAAACGAAATCACTAGCACAACGAAATCACCAGCACAACGAAATCACCAGCACAACAACATCACCAGCACAACGAGGTCACCACCACCTGCCACACTTCACACTTTACCCACTGCACACTCCACACACGACACTCCACACTTTACATTCCACACTCCACACTCCACACTTTACACTCTACACTTTACACTCTACACTCCATGCTTTCCACTTTACACTCCACACTTTACACTCCACACTCCACACTTTACATTCCACACTCCACACTTTACACTTTACACTCCTCACTCCACACTCTACACTTTAAACTCCACACTTTACACTTGACACTTTGCACATTTCACTCCTCACTCCACACTTTACACTCCACACTCCACACTTTACACTCTACACTCCACACTGTACACTTTACACTCCATGCTTTCCACTTTACACTCCACACTTTACACTCCACACTCCACACTCTACACTTTACACTCCACACTCCACACTCTACACTGCACACTCCACACTCTACACTTTACACTCCACACTCCACACTCTACACTGCACACTCCACACTTGACCCACTGCGCACTGCACACTCCACACTCCACACTTTACACTCCTCGCACCTCACTCCACACTCCACACACTACATACACTCTACACTCCAAAACACTCCACAACACACCACAACACTTCACAACACCCCACACTCCACCACACACTACACCCTATACACACCACACACCTCACTCCACACTCTACACTGCACTACACTGCACACTCCACACTTGACCCGCTGCACACTCCACACTCCACACTCTACACTTTACACTCTACACTCCACACTCGACACTTTCCACTCCACACTCTACACTTTACACTCCACACTTCTTACTTTACACTCCTTACTCCACACTCCACACTCTACACTTTCCACTTCACACTCCACACTCTACACTTTACACTCCTTACTCCACACTTTACAGTCCACACTCCTCACTCCACACTCCACACTTTACACTCTACACTTTACACTCTACACTCCACAATTTACACTTTAAACTTTACACTTTGCACTTTACACTCTACACTCCACACTTTACACTCCACACTTTACGCTCCACACTCCACACTCTACACTTTACACTCTACACTTTACACTCTACACTTTACACTCTACACTCCAATCTCTACACTTTACACTCCACACTCCTTACTTTACACTCCCTACTCCACACTCCACACTCCACACTCTACACTTTCCACTTCACACTCCACACTCTACACTTTACACTCCTTACTCCACACTCTACACTTTACACTCTACACTCCACACTCCACACTCTACACTTTACACACTCTACACTCCCCACTCCAAACTTTACACTCCACACTCCTGACTTTACACAAAGTTTGCACAAACTACTTCCCAGTACTACTGTGTACTACAAAGCTTGCACAAAGTCGACCAGCGCAACAACATCACCAGGACAACAACATCACCAGCACAACGAGATCACCACCACCTGCCACACTCCACACTTTACCCACTGCACACTCCACACTCTACACTTTACACTCCACACTCCACACTGTACACTGTACACTTTACACTTTACACTCTACACTCTACACTCGACACTTGCCACTCCACACTCCACACTCTACACTTTACACTCCACACTCCACACTTTACACTCCTCATTCCACACTCTACACTCTAAACTCCACACTTTACACTTTACACTTTGCACTTTACACTCCTCACTCCACACTTTACACTCCAGACTTTACACTCCACACTCTACACTCTACACTTTACACTATACACTCCACACTTTACACTTTACACTCCACGCTTTCCACTTTACACTCCTCACTCCACACGTTACACTCCACACTTTACACTCCACACTCGACACTCTACACTTTGCACTCCACACTCTACACTGCACACTCCACACTTGACCCGCTGCACACTCCACACTCCACACTTTACAGTCCACACTCCTCACTCCTCACTCCACACACTACACTCCACACTCCACACCCCACAACGACCAACCCTCCACCACACTCTACACTCTTCACACACCACACTCCTCACTCCACACTCCACACTTTACTCTCCACACTCCACATTTTACACTCCACACTCTACACTTTACACTCTACACTCCCCACTCGGCACTTTCCACTCCACACTCCACACTCTACACTCCACACTTTACTCTTTACAATCCTCACTCCACGCTCAACACTTTACACTCCACACTTTACACTTTACACTTTGCACTTTACACTCCTCACCCCACACTTTACACTCCGCACTTTACACTCCACACACACTCCACACTCCCCACTCCACACTTTACACTCCACACTCCTGACTTTACACAAGTTTGCACAAACTACTTCCCAGTACTACTGTGTACTACAAAGCTTGCACAAAGTCGACCAGCGCAACAAAATCACCAGCACCAACGAAAGCACTAGCACAACGAAACCACCAGCACAACGACATCACCAGCACAACGAGATCACCACCACCAGCCACACTCCACACTTTACCCACTGCACACTCCACACTCAACACTTTACACTCTTCACTTCACACCCTACACTTTAAACTCCACACTTTACACTTTGCACTTTGCACTCCTCACTCTACACTATACACTCCACACTTTACACTCCACACTCCACACTCCACACTCTACACTTTACACTCTACACTCCACACTTTACACTTTACACTCCACGCTTTCCACTTTACACTCCGCACTCCACACTTTACACTCCACACTCCTCACTCCTCACTCCGCACACTACACTCCACACTCCACACTCCACACTCCACACTCCACAACACTCCACACTCCACCACACTCTACACTCTTCACACACCACACTCCTCACTCCACACTTTACACTCCACACTCCACACTTTACACTCCACACTCGACACTTTACACTCTACATTCCACACTCCGCACTCGACACTTTCCACTCCACACTCCACACTCCGCACTCTACACTCCACACTCCACACTTTACACTCCTCACTCGACACTTTACACTCCACACTTTACACTCCACACTCTACACTTTTCACTCTACACTTTACACTCCACACTCCTACACTTTACACACTCTACACTCTACACTTCCCACTCCACAGACACCACACTCCTCACTCCACACTCCACACTTTACCCACTGCACACTCCACACTTTACACTCCACACTTTACACTCCACACTCCACGCTCTTATGCTCCACACTCGACACTTTCCACTCCACACTCCACAATTTACACCCCTCACTCTACACTCAACACTTTACACTCCACACTCTACACTTTACACTCTACACTCCACACTCGACATTTTCCACTCCACACTCCACACTCTACACTTTACACTCCACACTTTACGCTTTACTCTCCTCACTCCACACTCAACACTTTACACTCCACACTTTACACTTTGCACTTTACACTTTACACACTCTACCCTCCCCACTCCACACTTTACACCCCACACTCCTTAATTTACACAAAGTTTGCGCAAAGCACTTCCCAGTACTACTTTGTACTACAAAGCTTGCACAAGGCACTTCCCAGTACTACTGTGTCCAACAAAGCTTGCACAAAGTCGTTCCCAGTACTACTTTGTACTACACAGCTTGCACAAAGTACTTCCCAGTACTACTTTGTACTACAAAGCTTGCACAAATCACTTCCCAGTACTACTTTGTACTACAACGCTTGCACAAAGCACGTTCCCAGTACTACTGTGTACTACAAAGCTTGCACCAAAACACTTCCCAGGACGACTTTGTACTACAAAGCTTGCGCAAAGCACGTTCCAGTACTACTTTGTATTACAAAGCTTTCACAAAGTTGCTCCCAGTACTACTTGGTACTACAAAGCTTGCACAAAGCACTTCCCAGTACTACTTTGTACTATAAAGCTTGCGCAAAGCACTTCCCAGTACTACTTTGTACTAAAACAAAGCTTGGACAAAGCACTTCCCAGTACTACTGTGTACTACAAAGCTTGCACAAAATCGTTCCCAATACTACTACGTACTACAAAGCTTGCGCAAAGTTGCTCCCAGTACTACTGTGTACTACACAGCTTGCACAAAGTCGTTCCCAGTACTACTTTGTACTACACAGCTTGCACAAAGTCGTTCCCAGCACTACTTTGTACTACACAGCTTGCACAAAGTCGTTCCCAGTACTACTTTGTACTACAAAGCTTGCACAAAG